TTTTTTTTTTTTTTTCAAAATAATGGCATCAAACAGAGGCTAAGTTCTATACTATGGTGTTGAAGATGCTACATATGTCAATACTGCTATATTTCGAAAATATATGGCACATATAAGCATCATGATGCAACTTTAAATTACTGTGATGCAACTTTAAATTACTGGATTTAAAAATTGTTTCCATGTCAACTCTACTGTACATATATAACTTTTATGGAACCAAAGTTGTCAAATTTTCTTTCCTATGGATGATAGAGCAACAGCATAAATTATATGCCAAGATGAATTTGAACTTTTTGTCAGGACACCCTACACAGTGTCATTTTCTTTATGTTTCTATTCACATATTCCATCCTGGGTTGCACAAGCATTTACATTGTGGGAAGCTAGAGTAAGAGCAAACTAAAGCTCATATGTTTATTCTGAATTTTTATTTGGTCTTAAAACTGCAGCTGCTCTACTCAGGAGTATCACACCTGAAAAGCCAGAAGTAGCGATAGTAGGGTCCACGGATCACTCGATCAATCCTCAAATCCATCATCAAATCACAATCATTAATGGCAGCATGAGCAACAGGGCTAATGAAAGCAAATTTGGTGGCAAGAGACTCAGCCTCAGGCGATCTTCCCCCTTATGGACGGCTGATCCCAGAAAGATTCTTTTCTTCTTTGCAACCCTGTAAGTTCACTCCTTGGCTCCTAGCCAGAACTTTCCAAGACGAAAATACTTCCTGCAACTTCACAATTTCAATGATTTAATTAATCAAACATCCTCCGATTGAGGAATTCAAATGGGGATATGATCAACAATTTCTTACAGTCGAAGATCCAATGTATCTGCTAATGCATGAATAGATATAATTAACTATTAAACAGTAGAAAGAACATTATAAGTTCATTGATTGAGTAATCTTATCGTCTGTGGCAGGTCAAGCATGGGAACTATACTACTAATCTATTTCACTTTGTCCGTGGGAAAGCTCAATGGGGATGGCAATGCTCTCGATTGAGAACAGTCGTTACGTGATCCACCAACTTTTATGATGAGGAATAAAATGACATGGTCGAAATAAGTCTCTAATTATGAATTGTTGGCTGCATCTGGTGAGGACAATCTGATTCGCGACAATCTGATTTGCACGGAAAAAAAATGGAGATGAAAATTGTTAGAAAAGGTAAGAGACTGACCATCCATTCTCGTGGCTTTAAATTCCGCAGATTTCACTTTTTCCAAGCCTGATTCTCTTCACAGCATAATATTTGTTGACACCAGATGGCAGCACTAAGATAGAGAATCATCATATTGTGCAAGAGACAGGAAGCACGGGATCTCTGTACCTTTCATGTTGGTCTTGTCTATCTCCGCATAAGTATAAATGAAATGATACAATTTTCTGCACAAAAATTTGACAGCAACAGAAATAGGAGAAAAAAGTAATATAGTAAATTTGTTAAATCAATTAATAAATTGTAAAAACAAAATGCATTTATATGCCAAATGTTTACATAAATTTGCAGCAAGGATTCAAAAACACTATATGGTTGCAAATACAGAAAACATTAATTAAACTATCAAAATTCTCACTATAGTTAATCACATTACAAGATATATAATCTCATTGATTCCAATGCTTTGACGTTTATATTTAACCATACTTGTATGTGAAAAAGAAGGCTATAATCTGGTGTAAACATAATTATTTACATGCACAACATTTAAGAAACATGATGGGCCGTAACATATTACAACTTCTCAAGATCATACGCTATGCTTAGATATCACCTGAGTCACCTGACTACACGATAATTTTCAACATAGACATGCTCCCCTAACTAATAACTTTTTATGCTCCATAATACTTGTTTACAAAATAGATTATCTATTTGTTCAGCTCAAGATCCAATCAAAACAGGTTTCAGGACCCTCAATCTCCATTTTCTAGTAGCGTTTGGAAATTCTCGGCATTGAGCATCTGTTCTTTCTGTCATGGTATAGCCTTAGTACAACTGCCGCTGTTTCTTCTATTGCTTTCCCTGTAACTTCTGCAACCAAAACATGCAACACTCTCAAATTATAATCAAAATACCATCACTGCAACAAACTTCCCTTATTTGTTTGGCCTGGTAGATAAATAATGAAGAATGTCATGGTGAAGTTTCCATGCAGCACATGCTGGGATAAATATTTTATTATTCTAGTTAGTATATAGCAATCTAGACAGAAATTAAAAAATTCAGGAATGAGTGGTGCAGAATTTGTATAAACTCACCAATCACCGGCCAGATGGGATTTTGTTGAAAAGTTTTACTGGCGAATTCCAGCTCTTCTTTCACATAGTCCATTTCAGAATAGTTGCTCCTTATTTCATCATCAAAGCCCAAGGTCTTTGCTCTTGCCCTTCTGATTGTTTGAAGGACAACAGGGTTAATAGTCAAAGCAAAGACTTTCTCTGGGTCAATCTCAAATAAACTCCTTGGCAACCCTACATTCTTTACAATCGGAACATTTGCCACTTTGTACCCTTTCTGTGATAGATAAATAGACAGTGGTGTCTTCCCAGTACGAGATACACCAGCAAGAACAATATCAGCCTTATGCAGGTTTTCAGGCAAGGCCCCATCATCTTGCTTTATTGTAAACTCAATTGCTTCAATCCTTCGGAAGTACTCCTCATTAAGGGAGTTCTTTCTGCCTGGAGCCCAGCGGGGAAGACCAGAAGGTGAAACACCAAGATGGGAAGCAATTGCCTCTGTTATAGGACCAAGTATATCAGTAGATGTTACGCCCCAAAGCTCACATGCTTGTCTAGCTGTTTCAGCTATTGACTGATCAGCTAAAGTATACACAACCATTGCACCTTCCTTGGCTGCTTGCTTGATAATCTCCATCAAGCGCTCAACATCATCAATCTTAGAAATCAAAAGTATAGAATATAAACGCAAATAAGTCAAGCTATCCATCAAAATCCATGTGCAGTGCATAAATACAAAGTTGCAGAACATGACATTCACATGCTAATCATGTCACAGGAATCAAGCTTGTCAAACGATTTAACTGATTGTCAGTGGATTAGCATTTGACACCAAAAGACAGATATTATGAACTCAGATAGTCAATTTTAAACAAGCAGAATACATCCAAGTTCAGAAAACATAGAAACAGGTTAAGATTGCAAGGAAACTACATAACAGATGAGTCTTTCCAAAGCAAAGGAATGATCCATTTTTCTATTTGACTGATGGGGCCAACAAAAAACTAACTATAACAAAATGTGCAAAAGTTTTAGGTAGAATTATGAGTTCTTTAATTATTTTTAGTATAAAATGTCCATAATATCAAACAAATTATCATCAAGAAAATAACTTTGGCAGTTGCTACCTAATCAGAAGCCTACTTCAGTAATAGACTTAAATCAATTAATATATTTCAAGACAGAACCATTAGAAAATATAACGAAGAAGCCTAAATAAATTAACGTTGCACAGTTACTACAAATGGCGTAAAAGATTGGGCACTGGAAAAAAATAAATATTCTACGCACCAAATCTACCACTTCCCACACTCTTACTCTACCAACTTCGTCAATTACCACCCCTCTTCCATATTTGCTACAAACCACAAACCAAAACTACTTTCCTCTACCAACGATGTGCAATGGGGTCATTGAGTATACATGTTGATAGTTTATCAAATACTTATACATTTAACGAGCACTAAACAACCAAGGTTAGGCATTTCAGGATAGTATACCTGACAAGATAAAGATTGAAATCCAAGGTACTCACAGATAATAGAAACAGACTCCCCCATTTCCCTTACCTCAATATTACACTTCAATAGTCGTTCATGATGAAAACAACACAATCACATTATAACAGTGGATGTTCTCAATAACCCTTTCACCATATGCATATGATTCATATTAAAGAGAAGTCAGAAAGAAATGTATAATCAAACATGAATTCATTTCACTCCAAGCGTGATATCAAGATTAATTCCACTTTTCTCAAGCAAAAAAAGTTAGTAAGCAAAAGAGAATGAAACTTACTCCGGAGAACAGGTGAGTATTAACAGGGCAAACCCGATCGACCAAACAATAATCGAACTGCCCTAAAGCCGCATTAACGGAGTGCTCGGCCGTCCACCCTGTCCCATCAGAAACCATATATATCGACTTCCCCGCCGTCAAGTCCGTTGAATCATCTCCGTTACTCCCGCTTTCGTTAGAAGGAGATAGAAGATGCAATTCACTTCCATCGTAACCATTATTAGCGAGCTGAGAGCTATTCGAACGATTCATTTCCACACTGGGCTGCTGAATTAGACGGTCTAGTTTATGGCCGGACCTTATGGCGCGAGCTCTGGACCAGCGGTTTAGCTGAGGACTGGGTTTGAATCTTCGAGCCTGCGGTTTGGGAGGAGATGAAGGTTCGGAGGTGGATGGAGATGAAGGTTTGGAGTTGGATTCGGGAAGGGAGGCGGTGGTCGGCGAAGGTGTTGGACGGAGGTTCGACAGTGTTAAGGCGGTGGAAGAAATCATCATTTTTTTTTTTAGCGAATTTTCTTTGGCTTTTTTCTTTAAAAAATATTTATTGGATGATGATAGAATTATTATTATTATTATTATTATTATTATTATTATTATTATTTGTTGAGGATGGAAATGAAAAGAGTGACGACGCAATTCCCACCAATTACGTACACACACAAAGTGGCACTGACTATAGCCAAACGAAGTTACACAAATTGAATCAGAATCTAATTAAACTAGTTAGTCCCATTTGATTTTAATCAGAATTTTACTGTTTCTTATTTTAAAAATCAATAACTAAAAAATTATGCATATGTTTGGGCCTGATTTTCTCCAGATTTTTATCGAAATTCCTGCTATTGGCCACCGTAATTGTTGATCCATTCTCTCTCGCGTGGGTCCCAAATAAGAAAAAAGGGTCACATTTCCATTTAAAATCAAGCAAAAAAGCAGCGCCAAACTATTTCTATATAGAGTCTGTTTGAGAGTGATTTTGATAATTGATTTTTTGACCGTTAGGAAAAAAATGGGGTCCACTTGTGAGAGAAGAAGTCAAATATGACGACTAAAATAGTGAAATAACGGTCAAAAAATCAATTTTTTGGGTGAAAAAATCGTTCCCAAACAGGCCCATAGCCTATTTGAGTCTCATTATTTCCTAATAATGCATTATGGAATAATATATTGATGAAGAATATGTGGTTGAAAAAAAACTTTGAGTTTGAGTAAACTATTTTTTTATTAAAAAATGTGTGATTGAAAAAAATAGAGAAAAGTATTTTGAAAATGATGGGAAGTCAAACAAGAGGAATAGTTAATTGTCCCATTAATCACTAAACTTGGATTATTATCTTCAATTGCTCACTAGAGCTTCATATGATGAGTTTTGACAACTAAACTTCTCAAAATGTCGAATATTAGTCATAGGGTTTACTTTCCTTTCACAAATGTAACAGAATAGTTGATCTGGCAAATGGATTGCACACAGACGCTCAATCACAAAATTGATGTCCAACTACGGAGAAATGCGTCTTTGATTTCTCACTATTCTTTGACAAACTTTTCGATCGATCATTATACTTTTAGGTGATCGAATTATGGCCATTAAATTTCTCAAATTGAGGTCAAGATTACATGAAAATTTAGAAATTATCAACGACTCTTTAGGAACACGCTTTCTTTATAAAGTTATAATTAGAATAACTTAAATGGTTCAACATTCTATTTTTGCAAGTGAATGAATAGTATGTAGTATTTGGTATGCAAAGTCAATGGATACAATTTTACAAAAGAGAGAATAATATTAAATCAAGAAGAATGGAAGGAGAAATATTAATCACAGTGCAACTAAAGCTAGTAATTACATTCAAAAAATAACCAAAAAATACATGATGTTGGAGCTAATATTTACATTCAAAAACATCCACCAACATCATGTTTTTTAAATGTAATTATTAATCGGTACTAGATTTAATACTAAGTTTCTATAGTGGGGCATCATTGATGAGGAGGCAGCTCTGCCCATTCATGAAGCAGTTGGGCTTTTACTGCTAGCTTGCCATGCGTCATTGTCAAATACTCCAGATGCTTAAATGGGATTTGGTGACAAAATTCCATCGGTTGAAGAGTTCCATCATCAAGCACTATCTCCACCGTTGCCGAGTAAATGTGCCAATTGTTGGTGTATAAACGCTCCACCCAGAGACGGATATAGGGGGGGCTGGGCTGGGCTGTAGCCCCCCCCCCCCGGCCCAGTCCAAGAATTTTTTTTTTAAGGTATTTTTTATTTTTTTTGGGTAAAAAATCAGTTTTTTATGTGTAAAAATATTTTTTCCCACGTAATAGCCCGATTTAAAATTTTGTAGCTCGGTCGTGGATCCAATCCTGGATCCGTCCTTGACTCCACCACTCCATTACCAGTCTTCACAGTTTGTGGGAGATCGGTAGAGGGTTTGGGGATGGAAATAGAAATAATTAGGGTTTCTGTAGTAGGTGAGGTGGATCCTCATATATTTCTTCTATAGTTTAGTTTGTATTGGGTTGGATTGGGTTGTTTACTTGTGTTGTTTTGGCAACCCAAACTTTTGAGTCTGATGTTTTGCTTTTAATGGATCTACTTGCTTTAAACTTAGCCCCTACATTATATATTATCATTTCATAAAGAGATAATTGCAGCCACGACCCCAAACTTTTCAAACTTTTGTAGGTTTTGCCCCCATTTTTATTTGTTACATTCGTTGTCCAAACCTTTCTGTATGCGGCTGGTGGACAAATGGATGAAAATCATCTATATTTTCGTAGATTAACCCAAAAATTAAGTTTGACTACATTTTTAATCTTAAAAAAAAGAAAAAGAAAAGGTAACTTCCTATTTATCATGTTAAATAATTAAATGAATTGAATAAAAAATAAAAGAAAAGGAAATATTATCATCTTTACCCATCCTTCAAACCCCAAGCCATCATGAGCCAAAACAAAAATCACCTTTCGGTCATGACACCATCGCCACCGCTACTTGCCCCTATACCATAATCACTTCCACCACCACCTCAAATTGCCAATTTGCCTATTTTCCCAATTCCAAAACCCTTTTTGGGGCTTAATGATAGCAGGCAAAGTAGCCATGTCCAATGGAAATTCTACTTTTACTTTCTACTCAAATGCACTGGTATTACTTATACTACTTCCTATCTCATTTTGTGTACATAGGTAACGCACTGCACATTGTGTGGTTGTTTAAATGATTCGAGAACTAAATTTGAGTCCTAATGTATTTTCCCTTTCTTGTACAGATCTTCTCGTTCTCCACTTTTCTACACATTCCTCATGGGCTTTCTAGCTCAGCCTAATCAGGTAGAAAAATTTTGTTCATATGTATTAATATCTCTTGTTGATATTATAGTAATCATGGGAAAGTCGGCAGGTTCTTGGTGCACATATATGGGTATATTGGACTTGTGCTTGTCACTGTATCAATCTCTAGTGCAATGATGGACCTTTGATATTATAGTAATCACGGTAAAGTCGACAGGTTCTTGGTGCTTATATATGAGTATATTGGACTTGTGCCACTGTATCAATTTCTAATGCAATGATGAACCTCATTCCAGGTTTCACCGTCATAGTTGCCATCATTTTCAAGTAAAAATTGCGGACAATTTCATTGCATTCAATTTTAATAAAGAAGAAGAATGATTTTATTTAATGATTTAATTAAGAAAGTTATGATGTTGCCCTTTTTAAAATATCAAAAACGTGGTCAAATTTAATTTTTTTGGTCAACTAACAATAATTAGGATAGTTTCCAACCATTTGTCCTTTGGACGCACACAATTGAAAGGTTTGGGACCATGGGACAACAAATAAAAGGTTATGGTAAAACTACAAAAGTTCAACGATTTGGAGTTGTGGCTGCAATTGTCCCTCGCACAAGTAAAATTTTAAGTTTATCCTTTCAAATATCAAGTATACCTCTACACTCCATCACCCCACTCCTTAACCCTGATTCATTTTTCTATCAAAACAGAAGGTCACAAAACTTCTCACCTTCCTCATTCTCCGGTTACCATGACTGTCGTCACTACAGTTTAGGGTATGGGTGTTGTGCATAACGACGATGGTTTTGGGGTGCTTTTGGAGTGGTTTCTTCCACTTCTAATCTGTTTCAATGTGTTTAGCATGGTGATTTTTGTTGGTGGTTGGAGGTTTGCAAATGGTGGTGGTTGGTGGTGCGATGGTGCACGTGGTGGTGTGGTAGTAGTGGTAATGAGGTGGAGTAATGTTTGATTAGAGGTGGTGTCGACAGTGGTTCGGTAACGTAGCATTCGGTTGGTGCTGATGGTGGTGAAGCTTGGTGAAGAGTGTTTGTAACTAATTATTTAGTTGCTTGTAACCAATAAATAATATGAGATCGATAAAATAGATAATTTGAAATCAATAAACAATATGTGACCTGTGGTAGTAGTGGTAATGAGGTGGAGTAATGTTTGATTAGAGGTGGTGTCGACAGTGGTTCGGTAACGTAGCATTCGGTTGGTGCTGATGGTGGTGAAGCTTGGTGAAGAGTGTTTGTAGCTAATTATTTAGTTGCTTGTAACCAATAAATAATATGAGATCGATAAAATAGATAATTTGAAATCAATAAACAATATGTGACCTAAAAAATGTGACCACTTAATTTTTGAAACTTTTTAAAAGTTTCTTATCTTTGAAATTGTATCTTTAAATCGTTCTAATTAAGTATTCTTCCCCTTTTTTTACTGTCCTTTGTCAGGCTCGGTTCTTTCTCTAAGGTGTTTTTAACTTTTTTCTATTTTATCCATATTTGGATTTAATTATTAATCAAGTCCTATTTCATCCATATCATGGTTAATCATTATATTCTTCCTAGAGAACACCTTTTAGAGATCCTATATCAATTATATACATTGAGATCAATCAACCACACTTTCAAAAACATCAATCTAAATTCTCAAAACACCAAACCACTCACTTCCGTATAATCTGTCAGAGATCTAAAGATCGAGGAAGGAAATCAAAGTTTTAATAGGACAAGAAGAAAGAAGAATGAGTTCTTGATGATCCACATGAAATAGACAATTCCAGATGATCGGGAGCTTATACAGGAGCAAGTAGTCCAAGATGGCCTTGATCATTATAGAAAGTAGGCCAAAGAGTACTCAGAGTTAGTCGAGTCTGAATCGTACTATAAATCAGTTTGTCTATAGTGAATTTTATTGACTTGGGCTCAGAGTTTTTATATCCTTTGCTAAGGTTTTTCTTCGTAGTTAATTAATTGTGTTATTACTTTATGCAAATTATATACTATGACAATTCAACAAAGGATAGACTTACATGTACATTCATCTAGATTATTTATTATCTATGACTTGTTGCTAATAACAATTGGTATTTAAATTTCGCATTATTCACATATTCACTCCCTCTAGGTTTTAGTTGAGTCGAACTTCGTTATTTAAATTGGTGTCAGAGTTTAAATTTGAACCTAGACCCACTTTATCTAGATGAGTTAGCCACTAATCATTCCTCTATATTTTGATAGAAGCAATTATGCTTACTAAAAAGTAAGAATGAGAGATTTCTAAAAATCTATGGATGAGAGAATTTGTGTTTGTGTAGAAAAAGGATGGACCATCCCTGCTACAACTGTTGTAGGTATAGTTATCCCCATTGAGGTTGTCAGTTGGTCTAAAGCTGATTTAGATGAGTGTAACTGGAATGGTAAGACTTTAAGCCCTATTTATGGTTGTGTGCCCCCAAGAGTTTAGAAGATTGTCTATTTGTGAGGCTGTCAAAAAGGTTTGGGATAGTTTAGAGATTACACATATGGGAACCAAGATTGTTAAGAACTACGAATTGCAAGTTTTGATCACTAGGTTTGAAGAAATATCATAAAGGATGATGAATCATTTGATCATTTCTATGCGAATTTGAATGATATAGTTAACTTTAGCTTCAACCTAGGTGAGAAAAATCCTAAAACTACGAATGTTTGAAAAGTTCTTAGATCCTTAATTGAGATGTTTAAACCTAAGGTCATAGCTATTGAAAAAAGCAAAGAATTAGAAAATAGAGTAACTTGTTACGTAGAACGACAAAAATAGGTCATCAATCGAGTTCCATCTTACTCAAGTGAAATTATGGGAGCATTTGTCTTTCTATATTCGAATTGTTTGGATAGGAAAAATGTATTTCTATTAGTTCTTTTGAAATCATTTGAGTGCTATTAATCCAATTTGTAACGCCCCGAGCTCTGGGGGCTGTGATATTACAAAGATCTTAAATTTGTAAAACTCTATCTAAATGGTTCATAAAAATGAAAAAAATTTAACTTTTAAAAGCATTAAGACTTCAAAGAACCTGTTAAAAAAGTTAAGAAATTTTCCTTTTGGAAAGTATAGATTTTCAGCTTGTACGACTTTCTGAAATAAATCTCGTTTGACATCTAAATGAAATCCAAAACCTAGAAAATTTAAATTGGACACATGTATACCTAGGAGAATTTCAAATTAAAATTTCGTGAACAAATTCAATTGATAGGTCGGTCAAAATTATTTCGAAAACAGGATCTATTTGTTCTCGGGTAATTTCGGGCAGTTCTCGGGAAAACGTTCATAACTTGAGTTTACACCTCCAAAATTCGTGATTCAAAATCCGAGAGATAGATAACTCAAATGGCTATCATATCCACTGGAATCACCTAAAAATTCTTAGTATTTAGGGCTAGGCGAATTTTTAAACTTAGTCTAGAAACTGGAAATATTTAGATTCCTGTGTTGTAACTCAAATGAACGGGAAAAAACCACCATAACAATATTAAGCAATTTCATCGTCAATTCAGTTTTCAAACTTTCAAGAAACACTAATTTAAAATATTTCAAGTTTAACGACCATAGCATAAAGTTAAAAATAGTGGGCAAAATTCTGAAATCTTCTTCAAAGAAAACACACACATGAACAATAAAACCTTTCCGTCTCAAAACATGAAAACAATCTACAGTCTCAGGGACAGCCAATGATTGTTAAACATAAAAGTGACAACCTAAAACATAAGAATAAATTTCTCTAAAAGTAATGTATGCGATTCATGCCAAACCACTGCCAGATTTCCGATTACCCTGAAAAGGGTTAAATAGGAGTAAACATTTCAAAGAAATACTCAGTAGACNTCATGCCAAACCACTGCCAGATTTCCGATTACCCTGAAAAGGGTTAAATAGGAGTAAACATTTCAAAGAAATACTCAGTAGACTACACGTGTTATATGAACATAATAATCATATATCTAATCATGCGTTCTTACATGTTGGCTTCATAAATAGGTAAATCGATGATCAAACGATCTATTTAAGGTTCTAATGAGCCTCTACAACTATCAGTTTAACATTTATACTTAAAGTTCTGATAAGCCTCTGCAATCATCAGTTTAAACATATATAACCTTTCATCATGAAAATTTAAAAGAGAACTAGAAAGGCATTTCATATACTGCGCGCAAATTTGACGAATAACATGCCAAATTGAAAATTAAATTCATATAACGACAACTTCGTGTAACGATCCTACCTTAATTTGTGGTGATGACGTAGTCATTGAATCGAATTTTTTTTCCCAACACTTATCTAAAGATTAGAGGTGAAATTGGAATTTTCCTTCTCTGCTATATTTCTTTGGAGATTATGAAAATTGAAAGCCGTGTCCATAGAAAGTTGGATGAAAATTAAATTAAAGATAGTAGAATTTGGATAGGAATAGGTTTCTTATTAGAGGATTACTTAGCTGATTCCAATTTTTAACTAAGTCCGACTTAAATCCAAATTTCAGTTTAATTCAAATTGCATAATTTAAAATATATAACCAACTTCCAAATGACTTTCATCCTAAGCCAAAGTATTAGAATATCCAATCCATTTCATGTGTGTTGCCAAAGTTTATTAAATTCTTAATTGACTTTAATTAAATAGGTGGACACTTTGAATATCAATATCATGCGCCTAACTTATCCGAAATAACTTTTTCTCAAGTACAAAATTCGCCATTTAATATGAGTTTCGAAACAAGCCCAATACTGATATGAAAATTTTTGCTAGATGAATACTTGATTATTTGACCGAAAGCTAAAACTTTTTTACACAAGATTTACTTTTTAACTTAGTCCATTGGTATCTCAAATTAACCAAACATGACAAGATGAAATAGATGAAAATTTAATTTCAGTTACTAAACACTTGATGTCCTCTTATGATCATCATACATATGTCATAGGCAAGTTGAATGTCCATGGATGGTCAAATTATCGTTATTAAGCATAACAATATAATCGTCATTTTATATGAAAAAACGATATCTATGACATTATAGTTATGATTTTAACTGAAACGATTTGAAACTTGTCAAATTTGTACTGAAACGATATGGATATAGTCATGTTATTTTATGGTTTTGACACTACAAAGATATCATTGTCGTTTTACATGAAAGGAAATGGTATCTATGTTATTTTAGTTACAATTTTAACTGAAATGAATTTATTGTGTCAAATTTGTAAGAAAATGATATCTATAACGATGTAGTTCTTATTTAAATTGGAATGATTTCAAAGTCATCAAATTTATATTGAAATGACAGTGATATCGTTAAGTTATTTCTTAAGTTTGACACTACAAAAGAAACAATATCTATGTTTTTTCAATTACGATTTTAATTGAAACGAGTTTAATGTCGTTACAAATCAAAGGAAACGTTATGGATGTCATTTTCTTATTTCGTATCTTTAGAGAATAAAAAGTACATTTTAGAAAGTGTAAGGACCTGATATGCAATTTATGGAGAGCCTGATTGAAATGAGAGTAAAAAATTCAAGTACTAAATTTTGCAAGATAAATGTAGAAAGAACTGGGCTACAATTATTTTTAGGACCAAATTGAAGAGAGAGTAAAAATTGTCTAGGCATGCATCTAAGCCTGTAGAGATAGCACTCTTGGACTGTTATCGAGAGATACTAAGAATAACCAATTACAACTGACGCGCGTCTTAGTTTATGCTAGGGGTACCCTGTTGGAAAAATGACTTCGATGTCATTATGTATAGTCATAACAATTTCAATGTCGTTATGAAAAACAATGAAGCAGTGTGTATTTGATACTGAAACGATATCTAATTCATTGTGTTTAAGGAATGATTTCAATATCTTAATGTTAATCAATGAATTTTTGTACTGAAACGACATCTAAATCATTTTGTGTCTCAGGAACGATTTCATTGTCCTTATGAAAATCAGTGAAGCAATGTGTATTTGATACTGAAACGATATCTAGCTCGTTTTGTGTCTCAAGAACAATTTCAATATCCTTATTCGAATATATGCATTTTTGTATTGTAACGACATCAACTATTTTATGTGTCACACAAATGAAGTGTATATTGTTACGTGAATATACAATATCAGCATCTTGGACATGTACAATATGCGAACTTGAAAGTGATAAAGGCCACAAAAATATGAACATTTCAATTACATTCAACATCCATAATCATCACAGTTGTAAATGCAACAAATAGTAGCTACGCAACATCCAAAAAATATCAACATTCTTTGAATAGTAGGGGTGTTAACGAGCCAATCCAAAACTCGAGACACGGGCTCGGCTCAAGCTATTTTAAGTCGGGGTTTTTTGGCTCGAGTCGAGTCGAGCTAAAGCTCGGGCAAAAAATCGATGCTCTACTCGAGCTTTTGGCTCGAGCCTTATTCAGTCAAGCCAGGCTGAGCTGAGATGACTCATTTTTCCCTCTTCCTTATAGCTGCCTTAACCGGCAAAAAACTTTTGCTAATGGCAACAGATTTGCTGCCAAAGCTGCATGCTGAGGTAGCTATACAGGCAGCTTTATAGCTGCCTATATATGTTTATAATTTTTTTGCTATCTTTTATTATTATTATTTAACCAGTAGGCTCCGGCCGAAATGGCTTGTGATACGGGTTGAAGACTCCCGAAAATGGAGCTCAACCCGAGCCAAGGTGCCTCGAGCCAATGACCTAGAGACGAATGCCCAAATCTATTATAAAACAAATATTATTTATTTCACAACACAAACTTATATATAAAAAGTAATATAAGTCAAGTGTATTATTTGTTCATATCATTATAATGAAGGAAAAGCCGTGCAACGAATACTGATAATGTGACTCTCCTCCAACATTCCAAATTTTCAGTTTACCTTTCATTTCACATTTGAAGACGTTCATTTTGTATTTAAGTGAGAATTTTCCCCATGGATACTTCTCAAACCTGTCAAGATCATTCACCAAGTCCAACCAC